AGAGAATCTTATCTTAAACTCAGCGGCGAATTTCACTTAGTTTGATCATTTAATACAGCTACATATCAATATAATTTGTGATCTAGTTCTCGTAAATCTGAAGATGGACGATCAAAGAAACCAAAAGTGCTTGTAGAAATATATTCCGTACGGTCCTATTTATCCCAAATGATCAAAAAGAGTGAAATTTGCCTGCGTTTAAGATAAGATTCTCTTGGGGGGAACGCCCAGATAAGATCTTTTGAATAGGATCCCCCGATATTGAGGAAATAGTACTGATAGCTGTGTAACTCTTTAACAAAAGATAATAAGTCAATTGCAGTCTGAGAGTGCACTAACTTGTACGAAAAGCATAGCAAAGTTGTGTGAGACTACGTTCAAAAACTTGACAAAGGATTTTAGTGTCTAGACTGATTTTTCTGATGTGAGAAGTTTCATTACCGATTTTCATTCAGCGAGAAAAGGGGTAATGTGATTCCTTGATCTGTGGCAGCAACAAGAAATTATCGCTGTAAAATGCAGAAAGTTTCCTTTCCACGTTTAGACCGGTATCATCAAACTTTTAGAGTTTAAATGTGATACTACAAAAAATACACGAGAGTCAATACAATGTTTATTAGATTGAAGATAGGACAAATAAAGTGTGTTGTTAAAAAAGCGTTTCAAGAGCTGCTAATAACAGTGAGATAGTTACAAAAAACCAATAATTGTCCCGGACCCAAAATCAATTAGGAAGCCCAGTGAGGTCTTCGGCTGGGGCATCAAATTGCGTGAACACTGTTTGCTGCAATAAACATTTTTGGACAGTAAAAATATTGTATGTATTTGGATCATTTCGGTCCAAATGACTTTGGTTTTTTTTTTATCAGAATACACTGCTAATGCAAGTGTGGACGCTTTGAAGCGTGGACTTGGTTCATACTTACATTAGCAGTGTATACATTTTCTAAACCGTTTCAAGAGTGTCTCAGAGGACTCTATGTTGCATGTATTGACCGTCGGAGTGCCCTCAGGCCTGGCAACGATGGCCTACTTCGGGCCCTGGCTGGTCGAGCCCTGGCACCTGCGCCGCGTGCGGCTGGGGCTGATGCAAGTGGCGGGGGGCCGCGGGGGCCTCCTGAGCGGCCGCGGCATCGGCAGCCTGTCGCGGCGGGCGTGCGGCAGCGCCCTGCGCACGTGGTTCAGCTTGCTCCAGGCCTACCTCAATCTGCGCTGGGGCAAGAAAGCTCGCAGCTGAATTCTCCTCTTCTCGCACATTTCACGTTACGCGGCATGATTGTTCACGAGACGTTATGGGCCAGTTGGACTCATTATGGGACACAAGGTAAAACCCAGGCAAAACTGGCACATCTTGGACAAGATGTGAAAATGTTGTTTTCACAACAAAAGCATCGCATTTGGTGTGGGCCAAGTTCTAAGTGTCGAATCTTGTCCAGGAAACAGCAGTCCCAATTTTACTTCGTGTCCCAAAATTACCTCAACTGACCCTACACAGCACTTTAGCGGTCTAAACGAATCCATTTCAACGTAATAAAACGATCCTGGAATTAGAGTGTACACAGGATTTCGTGATCAGTGGCCTCCTCGCACTTCGGGTGGTGTGGTCAGAAACCTGCTACTCCATTCTAAGGTCCTTCTCCATAAATTAAAAACCCAAATAAATGAGATTGATGCCCTGTTGTGAAGTTGCCGACATTCCACCCGATTGAAGCCCGAATGAACTGCCCGCATGGGATGGACGTTATGGGAATTTTGCCGAGGGGTCCAGCTTCTTGACTTCTTTCCCCAAAGGTGAATGACAGCCCCCCGCCAGCCACCTGAAAACACAACGTGATGTGAATTTCAAACTTGCTGCAGTTGCTGCAAGGGAAAAACCACTGCAAGTAAGAAGATGCTGAAAATTTTTTAATGCTTGGCCAAGTACACACTTACAAATGTATGCTTGGCATGTACACACTCACAAATGCATGCTTGGCAGATAGGCCAACACACTTTCAAACGCCTATGCTTAGCATGGAGTTATATGGCGCCAACCACGCGTTTGTAAGTGCGTACTTGCAAGCATGCATTTGTAAGTGTGTACTTAGTACAGTTAGGTTTGTAGTGTACTTTTAACTTTTTTTACACTGCATAGTTAAGTATGAAACAGTCTCACACTAATGCGAACGACAACGTTGCAAGCTTGCAAGTGTGGGGCACTAACGTATCACATCTGGCCATGAGAGGCACGGTCCGTCCTACACTTTGTCGATCCTCGCTAGGAGACCCGCGTTTTCTAATGTGGGGTAGACCGTGCCCAACGCTTCCAGGCGTGAGTGAGAGATTGGTGTCTCATACTTGCAAGCGTGAGACATTTGGTTGATGCCCAATAGTGTGAGACCGTCCGACACTTGTGTTTGCCGTGTAGAGCCTTGAACAAAAGGTGAAACAAAAATCCTCACTTCACTACGATCCGACCTCTGAGCACGATCGCAAACAAATACATACCCCGAGGAGAGCAATGGTGATGGAGATTGCCCCCAGGGCGTTCCCTAACTTCTCCGCGTACCACATGATTTTGAAAGTGCAGCCCTCGCCATACGCGTGCAACGAGTTGCACGTATTCCCGTTGTAGCAACAAGAACTGGGAAGTTTGTGCCAAAACGAAGCGTCGTAGGTGCCGCAGCATCGGAGCTGTAAAATAAATGTAGAATATTAAAGCAAAGGTTTGTCATTAAGTCCTTGCCGAGGCATTCGAACTTATTTTGGGTGCCCATTCACGTAAACGTCAGCGATTAAGTTCAGGGGTAAATTGATTCTCCCAACTCTTTCACTAGGGGGGGGGGAACTTTTTGGCCTCAGTGTTTGAGAACGGCTGGAGATGAAAAAGAAAGTCACGTAGTCTCTAGCCGTTTACCTAGAGAAACTCGAAAAATCACTCGAAAACTATGTTGGGACGCCCTGGTCAGCGCACACCTCGTGGAGATAAGCATTTGACTTTCATCCGACGAATAGGACGTCATTCGTTAAAATTTTGTAATTGTCTTTAAGTATGAGGTCATGACCTGAGGATCCTCATTTAACGGCGCGCCATGCCACGTTCAACATAGTTCAGGTTCTGACGGATGTGACGTCACATTCGTTGAACACTGAGGTTTCTTCACTGGTAAAACAAAGGCATAAAAATTACGCCCCTTTAGGGCACAAATACTATTTAACGCCCTTTGAGGTCGTACACCGTTTTATGCCTTTGGGAAGGGCGTGAATAATATAGGCATTTTAAGCAAAATTTTTGCCCTTCCAACAGGCATTAACGATTCACGCCGCTCCAAGGGCGTAAATCGTTTGCGCCCTTAACGGGCGTAATTTTAATGCCTTTGTTCCACCAGTGTCGTCTTTCAGCAATGCTCACATTCATCTGCACGTCGTTGACGAAGCTCCTGGCGAGCGCGCTGCCGTCGCCGCCGTCCCTGGCCAGCTTGAAGACGTCTCGGACGACGGGCTCGAAACCCGCGGCTGTGATGAACATCACAATGGCGGCGAATACTTCACAGACGGTGATGATGATCAGCAGAATCGCAAACTGTGTGAAGGCGCAGCACACACATCGCTGGTTCCTATTCAAATGATGCCATCTTACCCTGCAATGACATCCTACCTGGTCGCTACCGGAAAAACGCCCTTTCTCAGAGACTGGCAATTTTTTTACGCAATCAATCGAATGAACAATGTTTTACGATATGTCACAATTTCTTGTGCTGATGGACCTTTGGAACGAAAAACCCGCACATTTTTGGGTATTTTCCTAAAGAGATAACGCTCAATTTTGTACGAAAAGTTCATCTGAGCAAAATCCTGCAGTAATGTCTCGTGCAAAATTTGTATACAAAAACATTTGGTGTGGGAGCATTTGAGAAGGCTTGGAGAAAAAACAAAGTATTACCACCATGGTCTCCACACCGAATTCAAAATCAAAGAGAGCAATGGTGCATTTTGAATTTGTTTCTGTTTTCTCTCCGACCTGAGGTTAATGTTCCGATTTAAAGAAGTTCGCCAGCCTCTGAGAAAGAGCGTGTTTTCCCGGGAAAGACCGGATTTCCCATTAAATGAGAAGAAAAGTTCTCTTGCATAGATACCCGTGACTTGAGGTCGCCAAGAAATCTTTCGTCAACCCGCTTCGTTTTGTCGAACGTAATCGTTTTGTTTCCGAAATTTTGCCTAACGCAGTCACATTTCGTTGGTGTGTCGCGATTTGGGGAATATCGCACAAAAATCTTTAGCACAATTTAAATTTTATCGAGTGAAAAACAAATAACGTCTATTCTCAGACCGTTAAGGACAAAAATAAAATGGTCTGCACTCTAAATGTTGTACAGTTAAGATTCTCCATATTATGGTGAAAATGTTCCAAAAATGGCGGTGCAGTGACTTCGTAACATACCATTGAAAATTCACTGTACCTTATAGATTATAGAAATTTTGATGAATTTTGTTGGTATTATGGAGAAAATCTCTACCATAATATGTTGGTGCAGCCTCTACCGTAAGAAAATTTTCAGTGTGCTCACCATTAGGAGAATGGTGTAAAATTTCTATAGCCGCGCCGCAGAATCCAAAAAGCGTGACGACGAAGATGACGGCCGCCAAGATGATGACTAGGAAGACGCAGCCCCTGAGGTGTCCCGCCTTGCCGCCATCGATGACCTCGCGCACAGGAGGCCAACGACCATCGTCGCCACCACGCACACCTGCACCGACAATTGCACTAAGTCATCAGACTTCCACACGCAAAATGGGTCGTAGGGGAAAGTAGCGGAAGAAAAGTAGAGAGTAATAAAGAAAAGTACACCCTTATGGAGCTGATACCTTGACTTCGAGCCATCCACCGACCGGTTATGTTAACTCAACATGAGAATCTGAGTATGAAATCCCTTACAAATGGATGTCAAGATGCCCGCTGTAGGCCACAGGGGGGTGTACTTTTCTTTCCCAGTATTTTTCTTCCCCAACCCCTACCCTGAAATCAACCCTGAAACTGTGTGCCTTTGTATCCCGCACCAGGGCACTTTTGCCCGTTCACTACAAGGATAAGAGAGGCTTGTACAACAAAATTGCAACGAAAACTGTGACAGAAACGTACAGCGAGGATTGTACATAGAAAGTACAACGGGAGTTGTTCTGTCTGGCCCAGATTACCACAGTTTTGGTGTGATAATGTAATAGTGGCGCTAATAAATTGATACATTCGTAAATGCAATGCAAAATTTATTGCTCTTTAAATGCAATAACTTTTTCATGGCGCTTGATAATGCAATAAAAAGTTATTGCTTTTGAAATGAGTTGATTACTACACTGAGAAAACCTGTGTTTGTTCTCAATACACACTTTTAGGTTTGTAATGCGCTCACCATGTTCAAAATTTCGAAGATGAAGAAATACTTGACAGTGGCATTGCCGGACCGGATTCCCGCCGGCATGGTGTGCTAGCAGGCCGCCGCTCGGTGTCACACTGAAAACTCGCCCACGTGCTGCCGCAAGATAGGTCGACTTGTGGCCGCGCCCATGCCCAGCGCACCTTATCAGCGATAACCCTCGGGAGATTACGATAGCTATCGAAATTTCCTGCTGCAGGAAGTACTCGTCCTTTTCGGGGAAGCATGTGTCACACATGGATCGCTGTCGGCCAAAAGGTTGAGTTGAAATGTGTACGGAGCCCTCCTCCAAAATGACTATTTTCTGTTTTCCAACAATGAAACAGGCGGGAAATTAAAAAAGACGCGAAAAGGCCAGCAGCCAGCTGCCACGAAATTTACTAGTCGTTACCCCCTCGATTCTTATTGGTCGATTTGATTTGGGCGCATGTGTTATTGGAACCTTTTTGAATTTCCCGCCTTTTTATATGTTGGAAAACAAAAGAAAAGTCAGTTTGGAGGAGTGCCAAACCGTTCTTTGTTTTACAAGGAGTCGTGCAAACCGTGCGGAATATGGATTACCTCCAGATTACATCCCAGTTTTTCCTGGATTACCATTAGATCACGCAGGCACGCAGGATTTGCTCCAAATTTTCGCGGATGGCCTCAAAGTTTGGGGTCACCTGGATAACGGATTACCAATTTGCTGTGAGCCGGATTACTTAAGTCGTTACCCCCTCAATGAGCATAGACTTGAGACAATGAATGCGGCAAGAAAACGCAAGTGAAAATTTAGTTCGTTGGTCACATTAAATGCGCATTTTTTACGTTCAAAATTCCATTTACCAGGAACACCGTGCAATTCATTAGCATTTTTGATTAATAAGAGTCTGGACCGAAAATGGGAAGACCGAAATTAACACCCCTTTGGGACCGTTATTGTCGAAGTATGATCTAACAACCAAGAGAAAGTATTAGACCACATTTCACTCCTTGCCGTGAGTCAACTTGTCAATGTTTGACATATTTTAGTCAAAACCCTATTATCTTGTTTTCTGTTTTTCAAATATTAATTCTTATGTTGTGCTCCTGCTCCACCTTTCTGCGCGTGCCCTGAGGCCTCTGAAACAAAACCGTGCCACGGGTATGACGACTGGAACCTCGTCGCGGGACGGCAGCACCAACAAGGCCGAAAGGGCAGACTGTTCAAAGTCCCGTTGCCGGTAGTACTCAAGGACAGACACCTGAAATAAACCCTGGCCCACATGAGCAAGGGGGAAGGCCGAAACGTTTCAAAACAGATGTGTGTGGAGTGGAGTGGTCATATTCATGACCCGCGAGATTACTTGGAATGTCCGTGTGCGTTACCCGCAGGCGTCGCGGAGTGAGATAAGACGTCATTCATCGGAAGTGACGGCTTTGCACTTGTGTCGTCAGTAGTGCAAGCACGTCCGCAGCCACGCCGGTGGCATGTTTCCATGGTAAGTTACATATTGAGATGAGCATCAGAAGTGTCTGGTCACTCCGTAGAGGATTTCTGTAACTTCCCACTTTCCGTTACAATGGAACACACAGTCATCTCAACTTGTACTTCTTGAACGAAGTGTAATTTGGAGACAAGTCAAATGGAATTATAGTCATCAGAAAGCGTTGGTTCGTCTTGTGTATTATTTCTGTACTTAGCTCTCATCCGTTTAAGTTCTTAAAATTAAGGTGGATTAATTCTTTTCACAATAGATTCATAAAAATCCAAAAACTTTTAGTTCTTGCCTATGATGGACAATATTTTTAACGGATTCATGTTGACTTTGGTCCAGTTGTTTCTATTCCGCTAAATTGAGAGCGCAAAAAGGGTTCAATTAAGATACATCGCTTTTCCCTGGATTTTGTCCCTTACTGCTAGGAATCGAGTCGAGTAATTTAGGGCAATAATGTAAACCATTCAAAGGCACAATAATGAAAAAATAACACAACTTGGACGCAAATCAAATTAGTCCCTTCTTCCGCACAATAAATATTTTTGACCATTTTTTTTAACGAGACATTACAGGCCATTCAGCAGGCTTCCTTTGACTGACATCGGCAAACAACTCGACGGGATCCTTTTGTGTACGGAGTCAGGTGGCTCGCTGGTCAAAGTGCATGACATCTTTGGGGTCACCTCTCCCGACAACGCTGGACATCGTGTAAAACTCGAGATACTCATTACTCACTGTTATATGCCCTACCGGAAGTCGAACATGGGTTCGAACAAAACTAAACAACCAGGAGAGCAATGGGATGTGGGTCTCAGTTTATGTCAAAGTAAGCAGCTCAAGGGAAAAAAAACCCTGCTGGCAGCTTCCCCTAAAAGTTTGATTTTCAGGTGGCAGTAACCTTCAAAATAAATGTGTTTGCGCTGTTGCTCATGAGGTGTGAAGGGCAGTGAGTGTGTCACTCGAGTAAATTTTGTCATACTGTCAGAAACCTGCTTCAGAATTTAGTTTTTGAGTTGGGACTCCCTTTTTAGAGGTGCGCGAATTATGATAATGATTTCAGACATGTTTCTGGCATTTTGACAAAATTCACACGAGTGGAACAAACCCTGAAGATGCAAGGTGCGGGTAAAAGTGAAGGTGGGAAAGTACATACGTTTCTCACTGAGCCAAAGTTTACTTTCTAACGAAGTACAATAATGACGCAAACAAAACAGAGGTTGAGAGTACAATTTTCAAGTAAATGTTTTAAATGTAGAGGTTACAGATCACGTAACAGTAAGTCCGCTGAGAATGCATGGTTAAAAACCTGCACCTTGACAGTAACTTAAACATCTTGCCAGGTGAAATCACCAAGGACGGGGAAGGCGGGACACTTGTCACACACTTCGCAAAGAACTTCCACCACTCTGACTGTCCTTTTCGCGTCCGTCGCCAGCAGGCCGTCCCAGATGGTGTTCTTCTGCTTTCGGCACGACTCCTCTGAGTGGTCGATCTTGATGCTGGGGAAGTCTCGCGCATACTCCCTCAGCAACACGATGCGCCGCAGGGCCGCCAGCTCACACTTCCGCAGCCTGTGGGCCAAGTCCTTGACATACCATTTCGACTCCCCCTCGGACGCCGCCAGGATTCGTACCTCCTGGAGGGTTGCGGCGTGGGTTTTGATAAGAGAGAGCACTGTAGATAACGGCTCCAGGCGCATGCGTAGCCACGACAGTCCGTGGTGGCCCTCGGGTAGAGGGGGAAACTCCACGACATGGGGCGTACTCTTCCAGCTCAGCGAGAGCTTCCTCAGGTTGGGCATGCGCGTTATGGACTGGAAGTATTGGTTCGCAACGTTTTTGACCATTACTTCGTCCAGCTGCAGCGGGAGATCCGAAGCTGCAATTTTACTGTCCCTGAGATGAATGCGCAGATGACGCAGTGAGGGCATCCGCCCTATCACGTTGAGGTGGAAATGGAGGGCACCGGAAACTTCCAGCCACTCAACGCGCGGGGACACACGCTGCAGCAGCACTTTACACCAGTTGGGCCTCTTCTTACAATCAACCCCAACCAGCTTTCTCACCTGAAACATGCAAGCCATAGCGCATCAAGAAACGAGTAGAAGAGGGAGGAGGATGTCGCAATAGTTGCCTACACTGAGAATGAAAAAGTCATGATCAATACCCAATTTTGGACGAAGTATACATTATCACCCAAATTTGGGCGAGGAAACAATCCTCGCCCAAATTTGGGAGAGGAAGGCTTTCTCGCCCGACTATGGGTGAGGAAGCCTGAATCAGCTACCTACATGGCTTCATAGTACTAAGACCCAAATTTGGGTGAGAACCGTTCTCAGCCAATTTTGGGCGAGGAAACCCCCCTTACCCAAATTTGCGGGTAATAAAGTAGTCCTCGCCCAAAATTTTAGTCATGATCATGACTCTTTCATTCTCAGTGTACCTACAGGGGCAATGAGTGACACGGGAAAAGGGGCACTGGTAGCCAACGAATGTGACATCACATTCGTTTGAACGTGAAAACTACGATGTCAGATTGAACGTGACAAACAGAGAAAATTCATACTCAAACGAATGTGACACGCCGCACCGCTTTGTCACATTACTTCGGGTGTTACACGAAATCAGCAGGCAAACTGTCACATTAAAACGAATGTGACACATGGTACCCATTGACATACATCGTGTCACATCCAAACGAATGTGACACCCATATGCTGTCACGTTCGTTTGAATGTGATATGCCCTAACTGTCATATTCAAACGAACGTGACACGCCCCGGACACGCCATAAGAGTCAGGTTATGGCGTGTCACGTTCAATTGAATGTGACAATTCGGGCATGTCACATTCAAACGAACGTGACAGCATATGGGTGTCACATTCGTTTGGATGTGACACGATGTATGTCAATGGGTACCATGTGTCACATTCGTTTTAATGTGAGAGTTTGCCTGCTGATTTCGTGTCACACTTGAAGTAATGTGACAGAGCGGTGCGGTGTGTCACATTCGTTTGAGTATGAATTTTCTCTGTTTGTCACGTTCAAACTGACATCACCGTTTTCACGTTCAAACGAATGTGATGTCACATTCCTTGGCTACCAGTGGGGAGGAGGAGGAGACACCTGCCTGCAAGTACACTCCACCTGGAGCCGACTTGGCAAGTACACTCCTCTCTGGAGCATTGGCGTGTACCTCCAAGCACGCTCCAGCCATCTACAGATGCATACATGCAAGTACACACCTACAGTACAGATGCATACTTAGCGGAGTACACGTCTGTGTACTTAGCCAAGTATGCATCTGTAGATGTGCACTTAGCCAAGTATGCATCTGTAGATACGCATATGTACTGAGTACACACTCCAGTTTGTAGAGAGCGTGGAGTGTCCCATGCTAGGTTGGCTCCGGGTGGAGTGTACTATCAAACATGCTTTGTAGGTCTTACTGGTTTGTCCTATCAACAGACGAGCACCAGACTAATGTAACGCGCTTTATTTTACACATTATACTCTATTCTGAGCTCAATCGAGTCCATAGGGGCCAGGGGCCCCAGAAACGTAATATTTCAATTTTAATCGCAGTGTAATCTGTTCTAGAATGAAGATGACAGATTGTCCCACAGCTCACCTTGTCAAGGTTGGGGTCCTGCAGAACTTCCTCCAGTTCCCGGCTATGCACCTCATCATTCTCAGTGAACTTCGAAACATCCAGAATTTCATCACGACTAAAGGTAGCTCGTTCTACAACGGCGTCCGGCTTCCTCCGCAAGTTCTGGTTGATGCAAGCATGATCGTGTGACTTTACTGCAGACCATTGGTGCGAACGAAGATCATTCACATCACCAGTGCCTTTCACTACCAGAGCACTCCGGGTCACACCATCATGGTCCAAAACGTCCCTGCTCAGATCCGGCCCCTAATTTTTGTCTATCGTAGCCTATCATCCAAGGAACGCTCCTGTAATTTTTCTTGAAAATTTTTTTTAGAACTTTGGTCGTGGTGACTTCAGAAATTTCAAATAAAATTTCTTAACTTTTTTTAAAGGTGTTTTTGTTTAATTGTGTATTAAGGCGCGCAAATGTGTTGAAAACGGTAAAGAAAACATAATGTGGTGAAAAACAATCTTGGGATCCTCACCCTTTACCAGAAAAAAGTTGAAGACTTAAAAAAACAACCGTTTCTTGAATTTGTAATAAATCGCCCTTTTTTTGGCAGACGTTTTCTTGCTGTGTAATGCCCTAATCGAGGCCCTAATACTTGTTATGCTGACATTCACCTCGAAATTTTAAAAGTTGTTTTGTTTAATTGTGTATTAAGGCGTACAAATGTGTTGAAAACGGTAAAGAGCAACATGTTCTGGTGAAAAAAACAACAACTTGGGATCCGCAGCTTTTACCAGAGACAAGTTTTCGACTAAAAAACGCATTTTATTGAATTTTCAATAAATTGCCCCCTTTTTCGGCATACGTTAAATATTTTCTTGCTGTGTAATGCCTTAAGACTTATTACGCTGACTCACCTCGAAATCGTTTTATAGTGATAAGACAGACAATTCACTAGTAAAACTAAAGCGTAACTCTATGCTTGAGTTAAGCACAGAATTACGCTTGGAGACGTTACGCTTGAAATGAATTCTGGAAATTCCCCCATGCATTTGGATAGGAGGAAACTCGGTGGATGAGCCCGTTACGCTTGATTTCAAGCGTAAACTGATAACGCTTGAAAACAGAGGGTAATACTACGCTTTAGTTTTACCAGTGTTGGATTCCAATGCACGGGACCGATATAGGTCCTCGTCAATATTTTTGAGAAATATATTTATATATAGCAGCGAGCAGTGATCTAGTGAAAACCGTATTGTGATAATCAAATTTCTTTTCCACGTGAGTATACTGAGGTTTTGTTGGTTGGCAGTTAAATATATCTTAGAATACTAAGATAACTTTAGGAGTATTTATCTCGGGTGTTCCTGGATTGCCTTCCGCATTGCTTTGCCGACAGTTAGAGTTCATCCTAAGGCTCCTTTGATGCCAGTAGCATGGCGTATTTTGGGAATTCAAGAAACACTGCTTTAAAAAAAAAAATCAAAAACTTTCTTTTTGGGAAAGGCTGTGGGTTCCAAGTTTGTTTTCCTCTAAATCATGTTGCCCTTAAGGATTTACAACCCATTGGGGCGTTAGAATGTACTATTAAAAACCTAAAAACAAAGGTTTTAAATTTTTTTTTTAAATTAAAATATCACTACGGTCAAAGGCATTTGTGAAAGAGATTTTTGGGTGGTTGGCTACGATAAACAAACAAGCATTCTGACACATTTAGAATTTAAATTTCTATTTTAGCGTCTAGCTGTGTACACAACGGTATCCTCTGCTTAAATTTGGGGGTCGGATCCGAGCCCAGCAAGTACGTTTTGGACTATGATGGTTTCTCTGCAAACGCAAGCACACTGTTTAAAACAGTGTGCCTGCATGCATACATTTTAAAGCGAGTGACATGCACACACTTGAGTTTGCAGAGAATTGATGGGGAATGCCCCTACCAGGTCGATGCCACCGTGCTGGTGCAGGTGCAGCAAAAGCGGGGCCAGCAGACCCCCGCCGTCCCGCCGCTGCAGGTTACCGTTCCAAGCTTTGCCAGTTTTCTCTTCAAGATTCATCTGCAGCTGGAACTCAGCCTCCAGTAGGTTGGCTGCCTGTTGGCACTTCTCGAGGCCCTGCGGCAGTGCTGCAGACACGTCGCGGCCCGCGTTAGCCGCAGCCCGCAGCTCGTTTTGGGCCTCCATGGCCTCGTTCAGCCGGGCCCGCCACTCAGTCAGCTGGGCCTCAGCCGAGCCCTTAGCCTTCTCCAAAGCCTGCACCACCTTCAAAGCAGACGCCACGGCGCTTTCGAGCTGCTGCAGCTTGGGCGCCGCCTGCTCCGTGCGCAGCTTGCGTAGGGAGCACAAGGCGTGGCCCTGGTCTGCGCAGTCCTCCGAAGAAACCTTGGAGCAGTCCCGGCACCACAACCTGTGGAAAGGGGGATAGCAGACCGCTTTAAGGAGGCAGTAAAACAAGAACCCTGTTTCTTCTCAAGCAAGCAACGAAACCAGATGTTTCTAATTTTATAAAGAAAGAGATTCTGTCTTGGAAAACATGCACACTAAATGTCATGGGACTTTTTTTGTCCCATGATTTATGCAATTTTAAGCACACCCGACGCTGCACTGTGGGAAAAAATCACAGTAAATCCTGTAGTGATTAGTACAGCTGTCACTGTTGTTCAGAGTACAGGATTTACTGTACTTTTTTACAGGCTCTACTGTACTTTCTACTGTACCACAGGAGTGGAAACACGGAATATCCTGTACAAGTTACAGTAAATGCTGTAGCCAGGCACAGTAAATCCTGTGTTCAGAACTACAGTAAATCCTGGCAAAAAAATTAACGGGATTCACTGTGGTTTTCGCAGTGTGAGCCCGCGTCGTTTGTTCCTGAGTCATCCCCACCTTGGCCCCGGCCAGCCGGCGCCCGGGGCTGACCCTTTTCAGGTAGGGATTACGGCGGCTTAAGCCGCTACCGTCCCGCGTCGTTTGTCCGCAGGAACTCCCGACTCCGGGACAAACGCCGCGGCGGGCTCACACTGTGGCAAAAAGGTACGGAAACTTCTGTTAATTTTTTTGCCAGGATTCTCCGTAGCCCTCTTATCAATATTCTCCGTAGGCTCTTACAGTCTTCTCCGTAAGACCTGGAAGACTGTTTAGTCCTACGGAGATCACTGTAAGGTTCAACGGAGAATACTGTGCGGTCCTACGGAAAATACTGTATGAGCCTACAGAGAATAATGACAACACTGTAAGGGGAAGTCGTATTTTTACAACTTTATTTTACATGAATACCATCGTAAGTTTACAACATAAACCCGTAATTTTACGAACGTATTCGTTATTGGCTAAATAGAAAGAGAAATTTCACAATTTTACACAGATTTTTACGGTTTACCTTGTAAAATCAAGAACCTATAAAGCCCCAATCCGACTGACTCACTGACTCACTGACTCACTCACTCATAGAAATGTTTGGGGTGAAGGAGTGGTCGTAGAGACTTGCGGTTTTTTCCATTCAATTCCAAATTTTAGGGGAAAAATTTGGGGAAAAAACCCCCAAAAGTTGAAAATTCCTCACCTTTCCGAGTAACCTACTTTATCTACAAAAAAGGGGAACAAATTTCTCACCGTTTCCGAGAAAACCTACTCAATCTTAAAAAAAAGGGGACCGACCGACTAAAAATTTTTATTTGCCCTATGGGTTAGGTCTGGTCGAGACGTTTCCGAAACTGTGCCGCAATCGGGTCCCCGTCCCCCGGAAACATCCTCAAAAACGATTAAATAGGCCTAAATTCAACAAAATCCACTCAATCTTCAAAAAAGGGGACCGACCGACTAAAAATTTTTATTCGCCCCATCGGTAGGTCTGGTCGAGACATTTCCGAAACTGTGCCGCAATCGGGTCCCCGTCACCGGCAACATCCTCAAAACGATTAAATAGGCCTAAATTCACAAAATCCACTCAATCTTCAAAAAAGGGGACCGACCGACTAAAAAATTTTTATTCGCCCCATCGGTAGGTCTGGTCGAGACTTTTCCGAAACTGTGCCGAATCGGGTCGCCGTCACCGCAACATACTCAAAATCAATCATCAATTATCATCAAGAACCTACATAGCCGCAAAATCCGACTGACTGACTCCCTCACTTATCAAGAACCTATATAGCCCCAATCCGACTGACTGACTCACTGACTCATCCACTGACTCACTCACTCATAGAAATGTTTGGGGTCAAGGAGTAGTCGTAGAGACTTGCGGCTTTTTCCGTTCGATTCCAAATTTAATGGGAAAATAGGGAAATATCCCAAAAGTTGAAAACTCTCACCGTTTCCGAGCAAACCTACTCAATCTTCAAAAAAGGGGGACCGAATGACTAAAAATTTTTATTCGCCCCATCGGTAGGTCTGGTCGAGAATTTCCGAAACTGCAGCAGTCGGGCCCCCGCCACCGGCATTTGGGTAAATCATCATCATCAAGAATCTATATAGCCCCAATCCGACTGACTGACTGCGACCACTCACTGACTCACTCATAGAAATTTTTGGGGTCAAGGAGTGGTCGTAGAGACTTGGGGTTTTTTTCCATTCACCTCTATCCTTGTCAAAGCAGTCTTCAATATTTTCCGGATTTTGTATGCACCCATTGACTGCCACAGTAGCCAAGCAACAAGCTATCTATTTGGGCAGTAAAAGTAGCTTAATTATATGGTCAAAAGCTCAAAATCGAGGGGTCCTATTAAAAAGATCTTATCTGGGCTTTTCCCCCCCAAAGACAATCTTATCTTAAACGCAGGCAAATTGCACTCAGTTTGATAAATTTGATACAGCTCCCAAATCGATATAATTTGTGATTAAATTTCACTGAAATGTGAAGATGAAAGATGAAAGAAACCAATAGTGCATGCAGAAATATATTCCGCTTACTCTCGTACCCGTCCCAAAGGGTCAAAGTGAGTAAAATTTGCCTGCGTTTAAGATAAGATTGTCTTGGGGGTAACGCCCAGATAAGATCTTTTGAATAGGACCCCTCGAAATAGACCTTTCAAAGAAGCAGCACATTTACTTCCTTAGAAAATTTGCCTTTGGTTACCACGGAAAATACTTCGGCACGCGCCGCACACATGCGGGGGTCTAGGGGCGGAGCCCCCAGCGAGCAGCGCGAGTTACGAACTATAGCTGTAATTTTACGAAGAATGTCGTCATTTCACGAACGAAAGTTGACATATTACAAGCATTATCGTAATTTTACAAATTCAATTGTAAATTAACGAGTAATTTGCTGTTAATTCCATGGGACAAATTGTTCGTAAAATTACAAAAGTTTGTTAAGGCCGTAGGAGCGCAAAATTTTTTTTCGCTGATCGATAGTGATTGATGTGTTGAACCATCATGTCGAACCGTTTTGCCCTGCGACGCTTAGTTTAGGCGTCGCGACGCCTCAAAGTTCGAAATTTTAACATTTTTGGAAGCACCGATTGAGAGAATTAAAAGTCGCAGCCTCCTGAAATTTTGCACACATGTTGGCAGTGACCAAATGAAGGGCAAGTGGTGTTTTGATTTGCGTCCCAAGTTCCAGGAGCACTCCTGGAACGCCTTGAAAGTAAGTGATTTTTGGAAAGCCACTGAGAGGGACCTAATAATACGGAGAGAAAAAAGAACCCCCAAATGCCCCAGGCCCAATCTTCCTCTTTATGGCAAAGTTTTTTCCCGGGGACGCCCCGACTTATGGTTTTCGAGATCCGTTTCGTTAGAAAACAACCCAGATTTGCAGGTCCTGCACCAGTAGAGAGAGACAGGCTGCTT